ATATGTAATGACCCAGTGGAGGGTATGCAAATATGTAATGACCTGATAGAGGATATGCAAATATGTAATGACCAGGTGGAGGATATGCAAATATGTAATGACCTGGTGGAGGATATGCAAATATGTAATGACCTGGTGGAAGATATGCAAATATGTAATGACCTGGAGGAGGATATGCAAATATGTAATGACCTGGTGGAGGATATGCAAATATGTAATGACCTGGTTGAGGATATGCAAATATTTAATGACCTGGTAGAGGATATGCAAATATGTAATGACCTGCTGGACAATATGCAAATATGTAATGACCTGGTGGAGGTTATGCAAATATGTAATGAACTGGTGGAGGATATGCAAATATGTAATGACCTGGTGGAGGATATGCAAATATGTAATGACCTCGTGTAGGATATGCAAATATGTAATGAGCGGGTGGAGGATATGCAAATATTCAATGACCTGGTGGGGTTATGCAAATATGTAATGAACGGGCGGAGGACATGCAAATATTCATTGACCTTGTGGTGGATATGCAAATATGTAATGACCGGGTGGAGGCTGTGCAAATATGTAATGACCTGGTGGAGGATTTGCAAATATGTAATGACCTGGTGGAGGATATGCAAACATGTAATGACCCAGTGGAGGGTATGCAAATATGTAATGACCTGGTAGAGGATATGCAAATATGTAATGACCTGGTGGAGGATATGCAAATATGTAATGACCTGGTGGAGGATATGCAAATATGTAATGACCGGGTGGAGGCTATGCAAATATGTAATGAGCTGGTGGACGATATGCAAATATGTAATGACCCAGTGGAGGGTATGCAAATATGTAATGACCTGGTAGAGGATATGCAAATATGTAATGACCTTGTGGAGGATATGCAAATATGTAATGACCTGGTGGGGGATAAGCAAATATGTAATGACCTGGCGGAGGATATGCAAATATGTAATGAGCGGGTGGAGGATATGCAAATATTCAATGACCTTGCGGGGGATATGCAAATATGTAATGAACGGGCGGAGGACATGCAAATATTCAATGACCTTGTGGTGGATATGTAAATATATAATGACCGGGTGGAGGCTATGCAAATATGTAATGACCTGGTGGAGGATTTGCAAATATGTAATGACCTGGTGGAGGATATGCAAATATGTAATGACCCAGTGGAGGGTATGCAAATATGTAATGACCTGGTAGAGGCTATGCAAATATGTTATGAGCTGGTGGAGGATATGCAAATATGTAATGACCCAGTGGAGGGTATGCAAATATGTAATGACCTGGTAGGGGATATGCAAATATGTAATGACCTGGTGGAGGATATGCAAATATTTAATGACCTGGTAGAGGATATGCAAATATGTAATGACCTGGTGGACGATATCCAAATATATAATGACCTGGTGGAGGATATGCAAATATTTAATGAACTCGTGGAGGATATGCAAATATGTAATGACCTGGTGGAGGATATGCAAATATGTAATGACCTGGTGGAGGATTTGCTAATATGTAATGACCTGGTGGAGGATATGCAAATATGTAATGACCAGGTGGAGGATATGCAAATATGTAATGACCTGGTGGAGGATATGCAAATATTTAATGACCTGGTAGAGGATATGCAAATATGTAATGACCTGGTGGAGGATTTGCAAATATGTAATGACCTGGTGGAGGATATGCAAATATGTAATGACCTGGTGGAGGATATGCAAATATGTAATGACCTGGTGGAGGATATGCAAATATGTAATGACCAGGTGGAGGATATGCAAATATGTAATGACCTGGTGGAGGATATGCAAATATTTAATGACCTGGTAGAGGATATGCATATATGTAATGACCTGGTGGAGGATTTGCAAATATGTAATGACCTGGTGGAGGATATGCAAATATGTAATGACCTGGTGGAGGATATGCAAATATGTAATGACCAGGTGGAGGATATGCAAATATGTAATGACCTGGTGGAGGATATGCAAATATGTAATGACCTGGTGGATGATATGCAAATATTTAATGACCTGGTAGAGGATATGCAAATATGTAATGACCTGCTGGAGGATATGCAAATATTTAATGACCTGGTGGAGGATATGGCATCATGTATTCATTGATACTTACTGTAAGACAAGTATTGAAAGATGGGGTACATGATGATTTTGGGAGGGAACTAAATTATTAGTGCCAGCCTCCCTACCCTCACCTTTTCTATCAAATAAAGTATTTTAAATGCATAAATTATCAGAAATGCAATAGTTTTACAGGCAATTATGCAAATGTGTTCTCTGACTGTCTGTTATACAAATATACAAAGACAGGGTTTTTTAGTCCTTATTTGAACAAACTCTAAAAAATGGGACTTTTGTGTTGTACTTAAAGCATACATCAGATCATCATTCCATAACAAGATGAACAATGTCTCTGTCATACATGGATGGATTACATTCAAACCCATACATACATACATTGAACATTATGGGACCTTGATGCATGTCATATTGTTTTTTTTGGCAGACTGGTGGCCATTTGTTGCAATGAATGTTGTTACAAAGCCATACATGGCACCCATGTAAAAATGCTCTCGTATTTGAACTTTCACTGAAAACAAACAGGAACTGTGTCATATTATATCAAGACTTGTCTGTCCTTGCAGGTGGGATGGGTATATTATTGATGGGATAAGGTGTTCCAATGTAGTATGCAGTTTTGATGTAAATTACAGCCTGCAACTTGTATAACAAAATACCTTCACACAAAATCCTGTATTAATAATACAAAGTCTTCAACAATGTCAAGTTCATGTATTACACATTTATATTTATTATTCAACATCATAGATACAAGATCATAATATTTGTGTTGCCATGACAATTTACTGTCTTGATTGGTTGTAGTACACCATGTACAGAATAGGTATAGATGATTACAAACATGCAGAATATTGGCATTTTAATTAGAAGAGACAGATTTCAACAGAAAACTGCAATGCTACACAAAATTCAAGCTTTGTCCAGAGAAGTAAAAAGACGAACCATCCAAATAATAGTGATAACTTCTCCAATCAAATTTGGAGTCTAGGTGATCAAGAAGACTTTGTAGTTTTGTGCATCATGTAAAATTATCATACAAGAAAAAACAAAATTATAGGAAGTTATGTAGCTAAAGATTTCGGAGAAGATTTTATCTTACGACAAATTAAGAAAAATATGGTCAAGAAAATTCCAACAACAATATTCGTTGACACCAAAAAATTATATTATATTACCATCAATCTGTTCTCAAACAAGAATATTTTTTTATCATTTTCTATTCTGTACACTAAAAAAATATAAACCAGTATAAATAATAACTTAACATGAGAATAACAGACAGATAGATAGATTGTGATAGCACACAATGAAAACACAAACTATATGATCGGCTATCCACACAGCCTCTTATATATAAATATATATAAATATAAAATACCCTATCATCGTTTTAAAAAAGTGGACTCTATATATTAAGTACTTGCAGGTCAGAGGTCAGAATGTATAAATGCAGTTTCATCTTGGACAATATGTGAATGCTACTGCATTTGATGACCTCACTAAAGGTCACACATCCTCGTATTACTAAAGGACCAGGATGTGTGACCTCTGAGGTCAGAACTAACAACGTATTTGCTCTTTATTCAAGAGACGATGCACTACAAAAAAAGCTGAAAATAGTACATACAGCTCAAATAATCTGTGCTGACTCTATATTTACAAAGTACATTTCAAATTTTGCTAATAAATTCTGATATTGTTTTGATTGGGGTGGGAAGGATGCAATGTTTTTCTTTCACAGAGGCAGATCAACAAATCCATTTTATACAAGAAAGCTGATAATAAAGTTCGAGAAGTTGACCATGTCAGGGAACAAAACAAAAAGTGCATATACAATAGGTTCACCCCAGGAGGTCAACTGTCAAATTATGGATCTCAAGAACCCAGTCTGGCAGTGATAAACAATGCGAAAACCTCATAATGTATGAACTTACAATACTAATCATTTCTGTGCAGTTATGTAACATCCTCAACGTACATGCCCCCCTCTCATGCCCCCCTCTCTCCCATTGAGAATTTTGGACCAAATGGACATAATCTCAAGGTGAGAAAAATTCAAACGATTTAAACGTTATTTGAATATTTCATTACCATCAGAAATGCCAAGATGTAAGATGTTTGGGGGGGGGGTTCATGAAAATGGTTTTGTTACTTCATGAACAGAACACTTTAAATGAGGTGAATGTATTGTACAAAAAAAAAAAAACAATTGATGAAGCATCAGGGATTGCTGTGGATACACTGCTGCTCAGCATTTTCGCTGAGTGTACATTTTGATTTGAAATGAAATTTTCTTGATTTGTGCATTATTGAATAACCTAAACATAAATACCCTACGGTTATAACAAAATAACACAAACAAATACAAAGTTTTTTGATACAGAGGGATAAGTATTAGATTTATATATTTACAATTTTTTTATGTTCATATTTGTATTGAAAAAAAAAAAAACAGGCATTGAATAGAATATATACTCAAGCCTTTTTATAATTATATAGACTTACAAAACATTTTGATTAAAAAAAATAATTTCTGTCGGGTGTATGATTCAACACACAGCTGACTATTAAACACTTACGTATGTAATAGATTTCATTTAAAAAAATATTACAAAACAAAAATTTGAGTCTAAAACTTGTTTTCTACAACTTGGAACATAAATAAATAGCATCTTGTAGGCTACATTTCTAGAGCGTGATTCTTTTTTTATATTAAAACATTCACAGTCAGACATTCTAAAAAGGGAAATTTACATTTAAAGAAAAAATGAAAAAAAAAACATTCATAACTCTGTTGAATTTGTTTTTATAATACAATATGTTTGTAATAAATAAATGAGAATATATTCTTTACATGCATAAAGCTGTTCAAATGACCATGTCAATCAATATAGCACCATAGGTTCCATTTACACACAGCCTCTTTAGCTGTCACATCTCTCTTGCTTTCACAAAATAATACAAGTAATCTCTTTTAAAATCTAGAAGTGATATATACATATTTCTCTGTGAAATTGAATCTGTTGAAAAAAAATGAAAAAAAGTGGGTAAGTGAAAGAACAAATTAAGTAACTAAGAATATTTATGTTAAAAATGGTTACTCATACCTAATATGCTAAAGTAATGTATGCGAAATATGGACATGCATACATAGTATGCTAATAAGATAATTGA